CATCAAGATAATGCTTCAAAGGAGTTAGAAGGGTTCTGCTCAAGACTAGGAGACTGGAGAAGCCTGAGCAGATTAAGAAATTAAATGTTACTACAGTTATTGCAAGTTCTCTATTGCTATCTACATAGCTGTATTTCTTTATGTCATTGAGTTTTTATCATTTAAAAGTAATACTTAATGCTAGAAAATGTTTAAACTTAAATTGTAATGGTGATGCTAAAAATCAAAGCATATTTAAATGGAAGCATGCTTTCTTTACTCATTTACCTTTTTACTAGAAAGAATGTTCAAACTTTAAGACTATAAATGAGATTTTACAGATAGGACTTTTTTCATGATTGTAGGATAAGTTGCTTTGAAGGAAAAATTAAAAATAACTGTGATATAAAACATCAATTACAAAAACTTTTACTTTAAATTCCATTACAAAAAAAACTTACTGGGAAATTATTAACCAAAATGCTTGGCACAGTTTGCCCTTGTGAACCAACACATGAAATGACAGTGTCTAAGTCATAAGATATCAATTCTTAGCAACCCTTTCAACCTCTTAGCATTTAGAAAAACCCCTCAAAAAGTAGCTATTATAATTGAAAAAGTATTTCTGTAGGAATGCGCCTCTAATGGAGATATAAAATATTGGCCCCAGAAAAACATAGCGACCATGTTATTCAGTGGTTCTCTGACACAGTCTTTCTAAAAATGTAATTGTTGTATTTCTTTCTCTCTTTAAAACAAAATTTACACAGAAACCCAGCAGTTAAAATAAAAGCATCTCTCTTGCAAAGGAGAAATACAGACTCCATTTTTTTTCTCCTTCTCTTGAACAGGTGCCCTTCTCCCTATCTACATCTCATTACTGGTTCCTGAAATACTAGTTTGGTAGAACAGATGTGTTCAATATCTTTGTGTCATTGGACATTATTAGACTTAGTTCCTTCTTTAAGGTCTCAGGGCTGGTTATGGGGAGTTCCAGGGCTAGCAACTAATAATGCTTCACATTGAATCTATTATGATTTTCAAAATTTCCTTCCTAACAATGGAACTTAGCAATTTAAATCATGTTGCAGATAAATATGAGAATTAAGATGATCTGACATCTTAATGGGCACTAGAAATAAAGTAATTAATTAAAAGAAAAATATTTGCCCCCATTATAAATGATATTTATAGGTGTTTGAGCAGCCTGTAATGTCTGCAGACTGAAACACTGTCTTGGAGTTAGGGATGCTCACAATAGGACGGTATAATACTTCTGTATTGGACCCTTCATATCCCCATCACCCTGAGTCAGTTCAAAAAAGAAGAGTACAATTTCTACAGGTTCTGAATCAAATCTGCAAATCTCGGCACCTTTGCTTAACCCTCTCCCCCAGGCAGCAGAACACTGATCATAGTCAGAAAATGCCTACTCTGGTGTACCATAAACTTGGAAAACATGAGAAGCAGTCTGTGTTGGGGACATCACCTGCATTATTTTAGAAGACATGTCCACATTTAGCCCTTTATCTGAACATCAACTGAAGAAATTAGTACTAGGGTATCCTCCTTCAAATTTCCTCCTGGCAGTTGCATGCCATCTTCCATTGTTCATTAGTACTTCTGGCCTGTCTCAACTCTCTGTCATCACTCATTAACATTCAAGTAGCTCAGAACTCAGTGGAGAGGGCCCAGTGTACATGGAGGCCAAAATACCCATTGCCAGTAAGAATCAAGACAGATCCCAGCCTTGATACACTGGGAAAGGACTACCAGAGTGGTCAAGACATGCAGCTTCCCCAGAATCGACCGGTAACATCACTGGATGATGCAGGGAGACAGTTATACTTGATCTAACAGTAGGTGGGGGAATTCTGTGGGATGAAGGGTATTTCAAGTAGACCTCCTCACTCAAATAACCATACAATTTCTAGCTATTATTTGATTCAGAGATTTCCCAAAATTACTCATGTGAGTTGTCCTAGAATCACCATCCAGATTCCTCACTTTCATTCCTTCTGGTCCTTTCTCCATTCTACATTGAACTCTGGATTCAGAACTTTGACTACCAGCCTGCTCTTGGTACTCCGTACTTGAATTTACATGTGGTCTCTCTCACTGGTCCTGGACATTACTCTTTCTCCAAATCCTCAGTCCTAAGTATAAATGTCCTATCTGGGCCCACTCCCTGTAAAGTGGTCATTTTGATGAAATACTTGCCCCTCAAATTAAGCACTTTCAACTTTTAAAATGATGTATGTGTCACTGTTTATGGTATTCACATGCATTAACTTGTGAAGATACGAACTGGAGGAATATTTTTGGGACACAATTTTGGCAGTATCTGTAAAAATTTACAGTCTTCACACACTCCCCACTTTAACCCAATTTTTACCTTGCTATCATGATGAACAATAGAATTTAGGTAAGTCATGTTAAAAATATTTCAGTTTTATAAGTCACAGCAACAAAAGGGAAACAAATTATTTGCTCATCAGAAGGAGATGGTTAAATTAATTATGCACATACATGCTATGGGGAGCAGTTACAAAAATGAAGTATATCTATGTGTTGTCATAGAAAGGTCCTGCATTCATGTTAAGTGGAAAAGACATATGACAGACTATGTATATCACTACCCATTATATTTCCAAATCACTATATATTTTTTATAAAACGTCTATGTATGGGAAAGCCTAAAATTAGACTTAAAATAATATTGTTAATTGTGGCTATCTCTGAGAATGTGGCTGAATTATGAAGGAATATTGTAAAGACAGAGACTGTGATCTATATTTTTCAAATTTTTGCACTAAGAATATATGCACTATCAGGTTTGTCACTTCTGCAGTAACTGTTTCTCAAGTACTTTTAATTTATAATACTCAGTATGCCAAAGTGGAGTATTCTGAGTGACATTCTGAACCTCTACACACACAAGAGCTAGACCTGGACAAAAATGCCAGCCCCTGGGCAAAGTCAGCTCTCTGGGGTTAAGGGCAGCAAGATCCTTGGTAAATGAAGTCCACAGATAATGCCCAAATTGTATTTAATTATCATTTTTACCTTTCTTCTTTATGTGTGCTTTTAGCACTTTGGATTTGAGGTCTTTTTTTTATCCCAAGAGGCATTATGTAGTGAGAAATGAATCAGGAGACCAAGGGTGGGCCTCTGGCTGGAGGAGTGGAAGAGAGTGAGCTCTAGAAGAATTCAGACCAGAAGTCTAACCTTGGCTCTGTCACCAACCAGACCTGTGATCTCAGGCACATTCCCAAGCTTTGTGACTCTTCGGCTGTTTACCTGAGGAGTGAGTCCCACAAGCTCTGTCATAATTTACTGTTGGAAAGAGTGCAGTGTATATAAAGCACCTGGCACAGTTCCTGGCTTCTTTAAAGAATGGCAATTATTACTGCGATGCTTTTGACCACTGATCTACCACTCTCACCTAAGTGATTTTTAAAAATCATCAATATGTCTCCAAGAGCATGAAGTACTACAGGACATGGGATATCAGATCTACCAAAATACTGTTTAGCAAGTAAACCACAGTAAATATATATACTCTGAGGTTGCATTCTTTAATAATGGGGAAGGAAACTTCTCCGGCTGATAGAACTCCAAATTCCTAGAACTTCTGACAAGGACAAATTCCTTACTTTCCTATTTCCTGCTCCATTCAAAGCACCTTTATTTTCATTAATTTTATACTCATCAAAATTACAAGTATTTCTTAGACTATGCCAAACTACACTGAAAATAGTATTTTAAATATCGTTAAGTGGAGTCTCCCAGCCCAGGACAACAAATGCTAACAAAGTGGTTTCTAGGTATCTCATCTCAGGAAAGTATCACTGTTATCTCTCAAAACTCCCTGAAGACGATGTGCATAAAAGACTGTAATGTAAGAGGCAAGACCACAGAACACCTTCCATTCCTGCCCCAGTGGATATTTCTCTTTTTAAAACATGACCCTAAAGTTAAGTGTGAGGAACAATTTTTCCTTCCAGGTTTTCAAGTCTTAACTCTGCAACCCACCATCTGGAGGTCTGATCCCTGATCACCAAACTCTCAGCCTTTTCTTGTCCTACATCTAAAATTTAACTTAAAATGAACTCTCGTTGAAGGAATTCCAGCATTCCCAAAAGACCAACTTTCTTGCCCCAGGGAATTTATGCTCATATAAAACACCTCCACTTACCTGCTATCTCCGTTTTTCACTTGTCCTCTAGATATTAGAGGATATCCCAACGTTATTATTATAGAATTGCTGATTCTGTAAGTAAAAATTATAACGGAAATTCCCTACAACTAATGTGATTTCCAAACAGCAAAAGTTCAAGAAAGTTTGGGGAATAATAAAAACAGTGAGTACAGGATCTAATTTATTGAGATTTATTTCTTAAACATACACAAACAAGTTAACCAAATTCAAGCATATATCATTCACTTTTATAAAGCGAGTTAACCAAATTCAAGCATATATCATTCACTTTTATAAAGCAAAAATAAAAGGCATAAGAAATTGACAATATTTTACTTGAGCTCTATTTCTTGAACCTAAGAAATTTTAAATTGACAGTCTTTTACTTGAGATCTTTTTCTTGAACCCAAGTATCTTAAAAGATTTCTTTCACATTTCCAGTAAATGCCTATAGCAATGCAATGTTATCTTACTCCAGGTGACAATATGAGATGGATGGTTTCACAATTTAACAAAAGCTCTTATTATGAAACCTCCCTAGAGCATTGACTATGTTACCAGTATCATTCATAAACTTGGACATTTTGAAGCTACTTAAAGTCTATACTAAAAAAACAATATTTAAATAATACATATGTCAACAAATTAAAGAATAAATTTTCAAGTTACACATATCAAAGAGGAACACAGGCAAATATAGTGTGTTCCTTTCAGCCCCATTGCAGACCTAAATTCTATGAACACGAACTGCCTCTCAAACAATGCAGGAGGAAACTATCCCTGACTTCCCTAGGTGTGGGAGGAGCAGCCAGGACTGGCCTTAGAACTGGCAGTGGCCACGGAAGTCGATAGCTGTGGCCGAAATTCTGGATCGGGCTCTCTCTTCTTCATCTTGCAACGCCTCCTCATACTGAGATGGGAAAGAACTTGGGACAGTCCCATGAACCTTGGCCAGGAACTCTAGGACTTGCATCTTGGTGGTTTCAGCGTGGGCTCTCGGGCCCCACAGAAATTCAAACTGTGCAGGATCACTGTTGGGTACCTTCTGGTATTTCAGGTATTCTTCCTCCACGAAATATTTGGTGATGAGCTTCCTGGGCTCTCCAAAGATGTAGTGCTTCTTCCCAGGATATAACCCCATCACACTCATGACTTCCCAGATTTCTTCTTCAGTGGCATGGTTATCCTTCATGAAGATCGCACCCAGGATAAGTATCAGGATGCCGGTCTTAGGCACACCAATTTCACCATGCAGCATCCCATCATAGGTGAGGCCCATTTTGATGAGGATGGCATAGCAGTGGTTGGTGGGATCCACTTCCTTCACATCAAGACCAAAGATTATCTCCATACGTACAGAGGCTCTCAGGAAGACCTCAGTGAAGTAGCCCTCATATTCTTTGCTAACTATCTTCAACATCTCTGCCTTGGTTATTAGCTCTTTCATTTGATACTTGAACAGCAGGAAATTTACCAATGAAGCCACATTTTCATCTACAGCATCTATGGGCACATTCTTGGGGTCTGGAACTGCCTCTAAGGAGCTATCCTCCTCCTCCTCCTCTTGGCTACTGGAGCCCTCACCAGACTGGCTGAATGAGGTGACTCTGGTGACAATTAAGGAGGAGCAGAAACTCTGAGGACTCTCAGAGGTACTGGGGATACCAGCATCAGGAGCCTCCTTCGAATCACTAGGCAGAGCCTTGGATTCCTGTGCAACCTCCAGGCCCTGGGTCTCATCGTGGGTCTGAAGGGGTTGATCAGGTGAATACTGTGGATTCTTCTGATGAAAAGACATGACAACTCCTGTGGGTGGTGGTAACCAGAAGTGTGAACAGAAAGGCAATGGGGAATGACTCCCTAAGGGAAAAAAGGAAGATGTGAGTGGCCTCAACTGCTAAACTCAACTGTGGTGGCTCTGATAAAAGTCGCTTCCAATAGTATTGTCAAAGCCCCGTGACAGCCTGGCCAGGCTTGGCTCAGTGGTTGAGCGTCGACCTAGGATCGAGGAGATCGAGGTTTGATTCCCAGTAAGGGCACATGCCCGGGTTGTGGGCTCGATCCCCAGTCGGGGGCGTGCAGGAGGCAGCCAATCAATGACTCTCTCATCATTGATGTTTCAACTCTCCCTTTGCTCTCTTAAATCAATAAAGACATAAAAAATAAAAGCTCCCTGACAAGAGAGCTACAGGGCCTCACACATCACCTGATCCTCCTGGTTGCTGTGTCCACTAGGGACATGAAAGAGAAATACTTAATGGTCTTCAGGGTACAGCTGGTCAAGCCAGGCTGAGGATTCTTACGGATGACATCAGGCAGGTTTAACTGGTTTCTGTAGAGCCATTTGTGTTCTGGGGAATATGGTCCCTTCAATCCTCACTCAAGTTCATTACTGAGCCATCCCACAGGGCCTGTGCCATATCCCTCATGCTAAATATGCTGCCCCCTAAGAAAAAGTCACATCTCCTTTCAGTCCTTCTGTGCCTACGGAACCTGCACTGCCTGTTCACTCTACTGCTGACCTTCAGACCAAAACTGCCATCTCCCTAGACCCCAGTGTGTAAAGTGAGGTGTTAAGACTACTAGCCATCCACACAAACAAAATAAAAACAGAAACAGACTCATAGATACAGAAAATAGTCTGATGGTTGCCAGAGGGGAGAGAGGTTGGGAGACAGGGTAAAAAATATGAAGGGACTGAGTAGTTTGGTAGTTACAAAACTGTCATAGGGATGTAAAGTACAGCATAAGAAATACAATCAATATTGTAATCTTGCCCGGCCGGGCGTGGCTCAGTGGTTGAGCATCGACCTAGGATCCAGGCAATTGGGGTTTGATTCCCGGTCAGGGCACATGCCCGGTTTGCGGGCTACGTAGCCGATCAATGACTCTCTCATCATTGATGTTTCTATCTCTCTCTCTCCCTCTCCTTTCCTCTCTCTGAAATTAATAAAGATATGTTTAAAAAAATAAAAATTAAAAAATTAAAAAAATTTAAAAAATAAAAATAATAGGTATAGAACGTTTAATAATAATAATAATATTGTAATTTCTATGTATGGTGCCAATTGGGTACTGAAAATATCAGGGGGAACACTTTCTGAAGTATATGATTTTCTAAGCACTATGCTATACACCTGAAACTAATACAAAATAATATTGAATGTAAACTGTAATTGAAATAAATGAAAAGTAATAAAGGAGGATGCTGGAGGATTCAGAGTGAGAAATGAGAGCAATGTGATGATGGAAGCAGAGATTATAATGATGCTGCCACAAGCCAGGGGATGCCAGCAGCCTTTGGAAGCTGGAAGTGACACGTAACAGATTCTCTCCTGGAGCCTCCAGAAGGAACCAGCCCTGTAAACATCTTGATTTGAGCCTGTGAGACTCATTTCGGACTTCTGCTTTTGAAAGTCACTAAATTTGTGTTAATTCATTACAGCAGCAATAGGAAACTAATAATTGGTCATACTTTCTTACCACTGTTAAAAAATACTTTCGAAAAACCAAAAAACTTGGCTATCATACAGATATAAAAGCAAACACAAGCTGGAGATTTTATTTAACTCATGAGAAAAACAGGCAGATGTTTTAACTGGTTCAAAAAAGTCATGCAGAACAAATGTATACAGAGTAAAGAATGTTGAAATGAACCTACAAAAGGAGCTCAAACTTTTTTTCACTGAGGGAGTAAGGAAAGTCAGTTTCTACCAGATAGGACAGAATTTGCACGTTAATCAGGTTCCATGCTGGGTGTTGGTGAAAAACTCTGCCAGAGGGCTCAGGCCTGAGCTGGTTTGTAGAGAGAGCTCACTAGAGGATGAGGTTCTGCTGGAACTGGCCCCTAAGGCCAGCCTAACAATAGCCAAGAATTTCACTGGAGAGTGCTGGTGAGACAGAGCTGGTCCACAGGAAGTGGTCCACTGAATGGCAGGGAAACTTCCCAGAGAAAGAATACCCTGGGCCTCCTACATGCCGATCTGGCAGTTGCACATTCACCCAAATATAAGTAACCAAAAGTGAGGTAAAATGGTGAGGAAAATGCTTAAGCTTTGGAATGCTATTTACTGTTCTACAACTTACTTTTCTCACTTAATAATATACTGTGGGCATGTATCCTTGCTTGGGGGTATAGATCTATTTCTTCCTCTTAGTAGCTGCAAGGCATTCTATTGTACAGATGCCTTATAATTTAATTTACTAATTGCTTACTGTTGGACAATTAGGTTTCTAAGTTTTCACTACAATAAAAAAATGTCAATTATATTTTAATTGAAAAGTTGCAATAGGCATTCTTTTATTATCTTTAAAAACAATGCATATGCATAGAGAAAATTCTGGAAGGATATACGCCAAAATATCTATACTGGTTTTCTTTGGAGGTGGGGTATTTTGGAGAATGTTCTCTTTCTACATCACTCATAGCTGCACTGTTAAAACTGTTTCTTACAAGCATGTATAGCTTTTTATAATCAGGAAATACAAAATATATTTTGATATTGAAAATAAGTACAACTTAATTAAAATTGTAAACTGCAAGAAAAGAAAAAGAAGACTACTACTAGCCATCCTTGTCTGAAACATCCCAGGGATGACGAAAGGGGCAGGTAGGTACCATGGAGTCCTATCTTCATTCAAGCAGATGGTCAGCTGTTAGCTCAAACAAGGTCTATACCTTGAAACTTGACAGTGTATGACACTCCTCCCCTGTGCTAACTTGATGCCGCTCCCTCACATTAAACATTTCTGTCCCTGTGATCACTGAGGATCAATTAAGGGGGTGTCACATCCACAGTTTCCCAAGTGTGATAGTAGGGCAGGGCTCTGTTGAGAACATTCTGTTCTAGAGAGGGTGTCCCCATCAGCCTCACTTAGGGTCCTTCCCATGACTAATTATAAATACTGAGATCAGACACCACTTCCACAGAACAATGATCTTCACCCATAGTTCAAGGTGCAGGATGTAAGGTGATATCTCAGCCTCGCAGCTCTGCCCAGAGCCTCCCAGGGACAACAGCAGGGCTCAGCGGAGTTATTTTGGCTCCTGACTTTTGGGATGGGTGGTTTCCTCAGCTCTCATTCAAGGTCTTTGCTTTGGCTACTGGTCAGACCTCAGTGCCCAGCTTCTGATACCTAAAGCCACCCCTTCCAGAAAAGGCTAATTCTCATTGAGACGCTGAGAAAAAAGACATGAGATGGTCTTGTCATGGGGTCTTTACCTGGAAGTCTGGCATGGCCTGGGACTTCTTTGTTCCTGAGTCTGCCCATCACAATAAGGCCTCACTTCCCAGTGAACACCATGGAAGAGTGATTGGTTGTCTCATCTCACTATCAAGGCTCAGGATCTCCCAAGGGTTCCCTGAGACCTGTGGGACCATCCTTGTAGGTGGTGAGTTAGCCCTTCAGACACAACTCAATGACACCTGCCAGGGCATAGGGCTCCTCCTGCTGAATAACCTATTCAGCACAAATTCTTCACCTTCCGAGACCCAGAGTAGCAAGGGAGGGGTGGCCTCTGGCTGCCATTCCTTCCCTGGGCACTCAGGGCTAACAGCAGGGAAAGGGCTCTGTGGGGACCCCTGTGCCATGGGTTGGTTAGTCCCACAGTCCTCGCATGCACTCAAGTTGATACACGACGGTCATGTGCCCGCTGCCCTCTATTACGTCAGAGGCCACCTTCCTACTGAGGTCCCGTCTCTCTGAGAACCCAAAATAGAAGTGAGGAGACACCTCACACACAGGACTACCAGGGCTGACAGAAGGGACTAGACAGCGAGTCACCCCCTCCGCCCTGGGTGGGGGTTGGTGGAACCCTAAGAATGTCCCGCGGTTCTCCTCGGACCTCCCGCAGGGCCCGAGACTCCCTCCTTTGCTGACAGGACATCGCCTACCTCAGCCCAGGCCTCACATCCCTCAGACCCCGGAGACCGAAATCAGTCAGCGAAACTGCCAGCCACCCCTGCTAGGGGCCTCCCTAGGCTGAGGGAGGGACCCAGCCTCAGGGAGGCCGCCATTATGTGGGGAGGGTCGTCCCCGAACCCTACGTCCTCACTCAAGGGCCTTTTCGTGATGACTGGTGGTCCAAGACCATTCACCCACCCCAATACCCACGCCCGCCTCACCCCTACACCCAACGGCCACATCATCTCACCTCCCGCTCCCCCACTCCACCCCACCCCCACGACCACAGAATGGCCGCCCCTCAGCCAGCTCGCCAAGGAGAAACTGCGGGGTAGGCTATCTCACAGCTCCGTTAGGGTCCTCCCAGGGACGGGTTGGGGCTCCTATCTAGTGGGCTCCCTCCTGTCTGTAGTGGCCGCTGCCATTAGTCCTCATTTTAAGTCTCACCTGACACCGGACAGCAACGGGACTCTCGCCTCAGCTCTGTGGAACCTGCGGCGCCTCAAATGGAAGCTCTCGAAGCCCTCAGAGTCTGAAGGCGGAAGTCAAGGGGCAGCACTTCCGGTTCACGCCTCCTGAGGCTGCAGGGTCAACCGCAGGGGAGGGGCTTTGCGCACCCACCTCCCACTTCCGGTTGAGTTTCAAAATGGAGGCGGTTGCGGTTCTCTGAGCACAGTCCTCGCTAAGCAGTCTCTTAGGCTCTGGATTCCTCCCTCTGCTGAGCCAGCGTGGTGCCGACATCCTCAGGTCCCTGAGAACTCGGAAGAGTAACTGAGGGGGTGCCTTAGGCCAGGGCTCTGCCTGGGCCTTGAAGGGATGGCAGCAGGCGCTGGCCCATCTCCGTGTGAACCCCTCCCCCCTCTTTATTTTCCGGCATTCGTCTCTGTCCTCTCT